CCCCCCCCCAAGCGCAAATAAAGACTATATGACTCATGTGTATGACTCAAGGGATAGGGCAACGGACGAAAATTATGAAAAAGTTATAAATTTACTTCCTAAACCTCCTCGGGATATAGCGATAAATATAGGACTATATGATTTACCTGCTCTGAAGTTAGTCGCGGTGTATTTTACTGGCCAAGTTCAATTCGTATCCCGTATAGCTCTCCGTCTAAGTTCGTCTTTCTCCTCCGCACGAACGTAAAATAAAAGAACTGTAAATGTTATACGGTTTGAATATATTGTGCTAGTAATTTACCTCGTATATATAGCAACATGAATTTGACTAATATATCTAAATCATTTTGAATTAATGCGCACATAAATAATTAAGCTATCCAATCCAGAAAAGAATTCACATCATCAACGTGATATATGTTTATAATATACTCGTGGAAATTAGGAAATATATAACTCGTGGAAATTAGGAAAACTCGAAATTGTGTGAAAACACTCCGCCCTTCGGGCGTCGTGTTTCCACACAATTTCTCGTTTTCCCAATTTCCACTCGTGTTGATATAACTGTATATCAACACGGAAAATGTTTTATATTTGTTAAATGTTGACTGTTGTTAATCAGAGGATGCAATCGAATAACTTCCTAACGAAGAACCTTTGCTCGAAACGTCGAAGTTCTGCTTATATTTTCAGGTAGTTGTTATACCGTTCACATCACAGCTTTCTGTTATCGCGCGTCTCAATCTACCCTGGGACCGACTGATCGAGACTTCATCAATCGAATATATTTCCTATTGTCTGATTGGTTGGGTTTAATCCTTCATCTTAATTTGAATTCTAAGACTAAGATTTCATATTCCAAATTCTATCACTGTATACATTGATTCAATTACATATCCTTTGCAAACAACGTGTTTCAACGATATAACGAACAACTAATTATTAACAAAGAGTGCGGTCATGTAACGTCTGAATTGGCTTTGCCAAATTAAGATGTGTACATATATCTTATTAAATGGTTTGACATATAATCCGGCCGAGTATTTTACGACTTTCGAACGTATTTTTCCGCACCCTGAAAGGGCGAGAAAGGTATTCCAAAAAAATTTAATATGCAGCAGCCAGTACCATCGCTGCAAACAAAACTATAAGGAAAACGCAGTTCGAAATGCAAAAAGTGGCATTTTTAAGGAAAGACGCTTTTGATCTTCATATCTGGACAAAATTTTTCAACAATAACAATAACAGTAAGTGATCTTTTCTATTCACAGAGTCATAAGAAGTACGGTGGAGCTTTTGAAAAACTTTTATTTGATTTTGAAAGTTGAAGGAGCAGTCTGCCCACAGTCGAACTGATCGAAGCGGCCATCCCGTTCTAAATGTTTGCTATTCTTGGGTTTGAACGTTTTATTTAGTTAATTTTTTTCACAAAAAAGCCATGACAGAAAAGAAAAGAAAGCTAACATCCTAACATCCTAACAATGAAAACGTGGGAAGTTTTGAAAGTAAGTACTTCCCAATCTCTAACTTACTTAAAATTGTTTTCAAATTCTATCACAAATTTTGCTTCCAAGTCCACCAAAAGGTTTCTCTTTTGTTTCTTCATATGCCTTGAATAAAACATAGCAATTGTGTACTGCTGTTTAGCTCTTGCTTGATCAATGCATTCTGATAGGAATGCTTCAGAAAGCACTTCTTCAGCAGATAACCTGTGACATATGTTACTGCATTCATCCAGATGATGTTACTTTCCAGGTAGGATTTGTAGTCGGTGACATCAACTTCCATAGGAGCTGCGGCTGGTCTTTCTGCGACATCCCATGCAGGTGGCTTTGATGCTTTCTGGAAGTTAGACCCAGCCAGTAGAATTGCATCTAGATCCTCTGTGCAGTTTCCACTTGAAAGGACTAGACAGTGGTCATAAAAAGTGTTCTGAAAGCCCTGGTGAATTGGAGTGGGGTAGGATTATCGTAATTGCCTCCCTGCTGGCGGAATGAACCGAAGAACTTCTCAAGGGGGTCTTGATTGTGCCGCCTGGTCATGGGAAAATCAATGGAGTCTTCTTCATGAAGCGTTGTCCATAGGAATACAACTCCAGTTATGGTCAGACACAATTCAGATATTTTAACTTGTTTGTATTGTCTTGCTGTGTCGCACGATGAACGACTTTGATGGATTTGATAAATGATAACATGTCTGAAAGAAACTCATGGTTAACAGACTTGTCACATATTCATTTTGCGAATTTTATGCGCGCAATCAATTACATGCATGTCGGACGATAATGTGCGTTCACCTAGATGTAATGCACAAGCCTACAACAGTAGATCAGTTTCAAAACTATACTTGGATTGCGCCAACATTTACATCATCGCATTCGTAGTGCAGTTTGTATGCAAAACTTTCGCAATTTTTCAGGCTGTCCGGCTTTTCAGGTAACATCAGCCAAAAGAAAAGAACAAAAAACAATATCATATCCTAACACATCTTTTATATTAGGCTACCTGGGTTTTTTACAGCTCCATGGCCATCAATTTATAACAATTTCTATATAAGTTAGTGCAATGTACTCATGCAGGTGAATATGATGCTTGTGACGTTACTCTTGAGTGTATATCCACACCGAGCAAGCTTGAAAAATATGCCTGGCCACGGTGGGAATCGACCCTACGATCTTTGGAATACTAGCCCAATGCTCTGCCAACTGAGCTACGCGGTCAGGTCGGTTCGAGTATGTGATATTTCGGAACCGAATCTAGTTCTTTCGATATCAATGTAATCTAATAATCATGATTTTTTCTGTGTTAGTGCAATGTACTCAGGTGATGCTTGTCCAAAGGTCGTAGGTTCGATTCCCACCGTGGCCAGGCGTGTTTTTCAAGCTTGCCCGGTGCATGTGTGGATATATACACCAGTAACATCAAAAGCATGCATCATATATTCACCTGAGTACATTGCACTAACACTGAAAAAATCATGATTATCAGATTACATTGATATCGAAGGAACTAGATTCGGTTCCGAAATATCACATTCTCGAACCGACCTGACCGCGTAGCTCAGTTGGCAGAGCATTGGGCTAGTATTCCAAAGGTCGTAGATTCGATCCCCACCGTGGTCAGGCATATTTTTCAAACTTGCCCGGTGTGTATATACACTCAGAGTAACATCACAAGCATCAATTTCTATATATATTTAACTTCTTATAGCTATTCTGTCTTCATAATTTGGATACTCTACCAGATTTACCGGCATGGAATTTTAAGCTTTCATCTTTCTACAGTGTGCACAAAAAAACAGTAAAAATTTCACTTATTTAAGGCTTTCATATTCCGCTGCATATTTAGCTGAATCAAGTGGAAAACAAAATCCACATTTCAGTGTCGTAATTTAGCTGAATCGAATGCGAATATTTTGTTCTTTTGCATGCATAATAATAATGCGTAATTTGGAACAAATTTTGCTGCATGCATGTATATTTATCGTGAGTAAAAAACTAAATACGCAATGTGGATATTTGACTTCATAATTCGCAATTTAGAATAAATTTTGCTGTATTCATGCAGATTGGAAAACTAAATCCCCATTGCAGATATTTTGGCCTTTGTAACTTATAGCTGAATCGTTGGCGTTATTATATCACAAATTTTAATAAATTTAGCTGAATTGCATGAGCGGGAAAACAAATCACACTGCGGATATATTTGCGCTTCATATAATGGGCAATTTGGAAAAATAATTTGCTGTATTGAATGCAAAAGTAAATCCACAATGCAGATATTTTAACTTGCATTTTTGGTTTGTCCCCATTTTTTTCTGAAACGAGGGATAATAAAATTCCCCATTGCGGAACATTATGACTTCATAATTCGCAAAATCTAAAAGTTTTATGTCGAATTTGGAGAAAAAATAAATACACAATGGGGATTTTTTGCTTTCATAATTTAAAATTAATATATACTAGGCTATGAATTACTTTTTCTTAATTGAGTGGCTGTAAGAGAAGTTGAAAGGAAATTAAAAGTATTTTTAAGCGTGTCGATAAAACCACTCTGGAGCATGCAAGTTTTTAGCATACCTTGTTAAATAAACTCAGTCTTTCATGACCATGCTTTCAAAACTCAGTCTTCCCGCCTTACTTTCTATCTGCAAAATGTAGCCCAACACTCAACAAAATGTGGCATCAAAAGTCAGCCTTTCTTATTACATTTGTATGCTGAAAACCATCCTAATTCTAATGCATTCTATTGCCATGGTGTAAATATGAATGATTTTTGACACATGACACGTGCGGGGGGAAAAAGAATGGATGCCGCCCCTACCCCAATAATTTACAATGAGGTATAGCTGACACTAGCTATATAAGCTGACAACTCCATAAGTAATGCAAATGACTAAACGCTCATTATATAGAGTGTCTTGTTATGAAAAAATAATTTAACCAATTTGCCCAACCTTTGAACACACAAAGAAGTGAAGATTATTAAAAAGGTCATGAAGTTTAGATTAGTGTCATATTACGGTTAGTGTTAGATTTAGATTATATTAGGGTTAGGGGTTAGGTTCGTCATCCCAATAAGTTATTGCGCGAATTTATTGTAGCCTGTTGATAATTTCGTGTTTAACAATTTAGTACATAGTTTTGGTCGGGTTTTTTTTTCGCGCAAGACTTATTCTCCCACGCGCCACTCTTAATTCTGACCAATCGATACAAATCGTGGACACATGTGATTATTTACTATTATCTTATTGGCGTTCAATCGCTTATTCGACTTCCTGCCTTTCCTGCTGGCGTTCAATGGCTCATTCGACTTCCTGCTCTCGTGCTATTACTTTGTTTACTCTGAGGACTGTACTCAGTACTCTCTAATCTTTATACAAAAAGTATAATAATAGTGGATTTTAATATGCGTACTCGATCAAGTATTTGTGAATGTATGCTTTTTACGCGTTACTCGATCAAAAGTAAACGGCTGTACGCTTTCTAAGCATACTCGATCAAAAGTAAACGGGCAAACGGCTGTACGCTTTCTAAGCGTACTCGATCGAAACGTAGGGACCGGTCATAAAGTAAAAGGGAGTGGGCTGGAAAAATCATATATTTGGTGTCTGCAATTTTGGTAGCCCACCCCTTAATAGCTGCTCGAAAATTTGTAGCCCACCGTTAAATTGGTGCTGAAAAATTATGACCCACCCTTTCAGAAAGGCGAAAGATACCATAGTTCCATTTTTCTGCTGCCAAATAATTCTGTGTTTCAATACTCAATAGCTTTTAAAATGGTGCATTAAATACAGAAAGGTCTTTCTTTGCATGGAACTTCCCATGCATACTGCAGTATCTTTCAGTTCATAATTAGAGAACTTTAGTTTGACATTTACGGCTAACGCCAAACCGCTAACGATAATTGTGATTTAACTACGCTCTCGTAGAAATTACAACTACGCTCTCGTAGAAATTACACTAATTTTGTTACATCCTGCACAAAGCTCGTGACATTTAACAATAATATCAGAAAATTAGTTACCCACTACTAACGCATTAGCCACAGTGGCGGACACTTTACGAAATTTTGGTGGGAGGGCTTTTAAAATTTGAATCCCAGAAATGGCATTTCCAATATTCTGAGAACACATTTTCTAAAAAACTAGGTTTTCAAAACATTGTTTTAATGGTGCGTTTTCAGTATACCGGTAAATCACATGCTAAGTATAGAAAACCAACATTTCAGAGAAAATATTTACATGATTATTTACATTTGTGAATGGAATTGCAAGGTACTTTAATTTAATTAACACGGCAATGACAATGCAAAAATTTATTGCTAAGTGATTATGTTAATTGAATTATCCATTGTTTTTGAGCATAATAGTTTAATACGCATTCAAAATTTCGCCGCTAAACAATGGTATAAGCTTCTGAAACAACAAAAATCGACAATGACATTTTAAGAAGTGCTGTTGCAAAAAGTTGACCCCCTAGTATCCGTTAAAAAGAGTGTATAAAATGCGTATGTTGTGACATGTACAATACAGAAACATATATTATTATATTATGACGACAATTACGTTAATATATGAGTGTGATTTGTGTTATTTGGTACAAGATTTTTACGCTATTTACAGGATATTAACATTAAGATAATGTCAACACTAGACTATAGGTATAAAACTCCATCTATACATTAAATATATGCTAATTTATTAGTGTCAAAATACGGGCTGTGGAGGCTATGGATGCTTAAGCTGCAGCGAACTTAAATTTCACGGCCAACTAAACTTCGAACACATGCATGCAAAATACCAGGCTAAGTTCCAGCCTCTCTTTCCAAAATGTGCAAGCTCCAGCACATCAAGGGTGGGACTGAAGCCGCTGCACAAAGCTCTGTGGTACTATATTAATAACTATACTACGATACAGCAAATTTCAATTGTATTTACAAACAGAGATATGACTAAAGCCCCGTTTACACTACGCTCAATTTTTGGTACGGCACGGATAAAATTCGTACCCGTACCACTTTTTTGGTTCTTGGACTACCTATTTAGCTAAGCCCCGTTTACATTACGCTCAATTTTTGGTACTGTACCACTTTTTGGTTCTTGGACTACCTAAATAGGTAGTCCAAGAACCAAAAAAGTGGTACGAGTACCAATTTTATCCGTGCCGTACCAAAAATTGAGCGTAGTGTAAACGGAGCTTAAATAATCTCATACCTGCCACCTCCTGCTTTTCATGGCGCAGTATCCCTGTTTTGTTTCCCTACGACTCTTAATTTACCATCTGTAGTCTCTTCCACGACAAACCCTGCTTCTGCCAGACGAGTGTTTGAGGCAAGTCCCAGTTGTGTTAGTGATCTTATTACTTGTTGATTCCCCTGATTATTTTCCAATACGTTACGTAAACAAAATATAGCCCATTGACAAATATCTATTATAATGAAGTTAGGGTATATAAGAGACAAACACTGTACGTGATGTAAAACCCTTATTATATAGCGCCTAGGTACATAAATATTATACTGTATGTAAAGCTTTAATAGCCAGCTTGAACTAGGACGACAGCCAGGTGAATTGAGTATATTTTTCCAACACTTATGCTAATTAAATGGGATTTTTCTTTAGGCTTATCCTCATGCATGGGGTTTACATTCTCACGTGAGCCGATGTATTCGCGTCTATATATTAGCTGCATACATTATATAACACTTCATTAAATTCTGGTCATTTAATTGGTTGATTATGATCACAAGATATGGAATAAAATTAGCATTTTGCCACAGGCAGCTCACCCTGGGTCTTATTGGAGAGCAACGTATATACTATAGGTTTATAGCATTAAATATGCAGCTTACTGTTGAAGAGCAGCCAAAAGGGCTGCACTTTGCGGGCTGCTTGGCGGCTAACGCGAGCTTGCGTTCCATTGCATGCTCAGCCTCAGGGAGCCCACCCAGGGTCTTACGTTAGGCCGCAAAATACAGACCCTCCATAAGTCAGACAACGTTCAATAAATACTGAGCTATATATTTACATATATTGCTATAAGTTGCTCTCCAATAAGACACGGGGTGGGCTCCCTGTAGCTCAGCCGTGCATTTTTGTACTATACAATTTGTTCCACCGTACGGTTTGGTTTTCATTAAATTCCATCCGTCAAAATCTTAATCGAACCCTAACCGTAGCTCATATAACCCAAATCTTCATAATGAGACCGACGGAATTAAATTCAAATGCATAATTTGTGCGAAGCAAAATAGCGGAGGTAAAAATCACTAAAAATATTATTTTTACGTCAATGTTGACTAAAATAAATGCCATTATTACATTAACTCCTCAATCAAACATTGTTTGGGACATATTTGTTGGATTTCTTTTACTTTTAAACATTGTAGGCTACATGTATGTATTTGTTTATATATTTAATTCAATACGATTTATTTTGGTGTTATATACAACAAATAAGGAATGTTTTCATTCGTGCAATAACAAAAATATTTTCATTCGGTGAAAGATATGGAATGTTCCATTCCACTCGGCTGTCGCATCTTTCATCTCATGAAACATTCATTATTTGTATTCTAACCAAAATAAGTAGGTTTTCATAGTAACTATGATTTCCTCTGGATTGCAAACAGACAGCCATGCTAGATAAAAGGATACAAGGATTGTAATCATCAATATTGCAATGATCCAACAATAACGGTATGCAATCCATTTGGCGAACCTAAAATTTACAGAATTATATAATTACTAATATTAAATCTTACAGTTGCAACTATACCTTTAGGTTATGTTTCATATCCCACTATCTTATGTTTTCATCCCGAACACATCCAGCACAAACTTTGCAACTAAAAACTTTACCTCCATCCAAAATATCTACTCAGCTAGATCACTGAAAAAGAAACATTTCTGAAATTAACACTGAATAAATTAAGATACATACACAATCTTGGTTCATTGTGTTTAGGTAACACACATTAGCAATGAGCTGTATCAAACTTCTCTTGAAACCAAACGCAGGGTGCGCTGAATTAGCAATATTGTCACTTGGGTTTGAAAAATGGCTGAGATCACTAAAGAACTTTCTGTTTTCTTCTGAGGATGTTTCACGGAGTGCGACTAAAGAAAAACAACAAAACATTTCAGGATAAAACGTTTTCCACCACTAAAAATGATAATGAATTATTTTGTGGCGCTATTATTACCAAAAACAGATTATACTGAAAGGTCACCGTGGTTAAATAAGTTTAAATAATAGTAAAAATATATATATGCTCCCATTATGCTTTGCACGCTTAGAGTTTAAAGTTTAAGGTTTAGAGTTTGCAAAGGACAACCTTTTTTGAATTAGCTGTATACATGTATGTATATATATATATATATATATATATATATATATATATATATATATATATATATATATATATATATATATATATATATATATATATATATATATATATATATATATATATATATATATATATATATATATATATATATATATAGGGTGTATAAAAAAAACTGAACAGATTTGAAATTGCTCTCGATTTCGCAAAACACCTATTTGTATCCGGTTTTATATATATAGCTTCTTTGGGTATTTATAATGTAGAATAATGAAAAAAATTTCTCGAACTCAAACTTTGTGAACCAGGGGGTGTGTCTTTTCCAACAAACTAAAAATGGCTCGCGCACAAAATTTAAAAGCTGCAATCATATTTTGAGTTGATAGATGGAACATTTGTCAGGTTTTTAATTACTGTACAAAATTTCAGACAATTTGGTTTAGTTTAAGCCCCTTAACTATTCACGCAAATTTACATTTTTCCTAAAAATCAGCTATTTGCATGCTTAATTAATGCATTTGCCTAATTTGCATATGTCAGCAATATGCAAATTAGGTAAATGCATTAATTAAGCATGCGAAAGGCTGATTTTTTAGAACAAAATGAATAGTTAAAGGGGCTTAAACTGAACCAAATTGTCTGAAATTTTGTACAGTAATTAAAAACCAGACAAATTTTCCATCTATTAACTCAAAATATGATTCCAGCTTTTAAATTTTGTGCGCGAGCCATTTTTAGTTTGTTGGAAAAGACACCCCCCCCTGGTTCACAAAATTTGAGTTCGAGAAATTTTTTTCATTATTCTACATTATAAGTACCCAAAGAAGCTTGTGTTTTGCGAAATTGAGAGCAATTTCAAATCTGTTCAGTTTTTATATACAGTGTGTATCAAAATAATTCGAATCCAAATTTGGCGTGTAATAACGCAGAATATATTTGACAAATTCGGTTGGTTTTTACACCATTGTTAAGTTAATTTATTTACCTTTCAAATGACATGCTGTACGCGTCATTTAGTTGGAAAATGAAGGAGTATTGCTTTGACAAAAAAGTCCATAAAAATCACAATTTTCCGCCGATGGGAATTGGACATTTTTTCTTTCAAAGTTAGTCCCACAAGGCTTTGAAATGCTAATCATCACTGAAAACTTAAATACAAATTTAACGCGAATTTCTTCTCGTTCAACATGTTGAAGGCATAGGAGCTTAAATCTCTTTAAATGAACACGAATTTATGTAAATTTTGCTACATAACAGTTTGTTGATTAATTAAATTTGCATTATCTTTTGTTTGTACGTCTCACTTCGAATTCCCATCGGCGGAAAAATTTGATTTCGAGCAACCAGTTTTAACACACGATTTCTTGGTCATTTTTGATCTTATTGATATAAGAACGATATAATCGGAAACCTAATAGGCTATTCTTAATTGCCATATAAAAATTATATGGTTTACTTTAGTATTTTATAAACAGCAGTCTGTCAAATTTGGATTCGAATTATTTTGATACACACTGTATATATATATATATATATATATATATATATATATATATATATATATATATATATATATATATATATATATATATATATATATATATATATATATATATATATATATATATATAGTATTTTAACTTAAAATTGAGTCACAACTCTGAGTTTCACGCTGAATGCGATCATCAGGTGACGGTGTTACAAGTGACGGTTCAATCTTCCGTATGATGACGTTGGATTATATGCGTGATGGCGCAGCGCGCGCACGTTCAAATTTTCCCGCGAGGAATCGCTTCCGGTGGCGGCACTTCGAGAAAAGTCCACACATATTATATTATATAATATATATATAATATAATATATATATATATATATATATATATATATATATATATATATATATATATATATATATATATATATATATATATATATATATATAATATATATATGACCTGGAAATGAGATGCAAAGCAGCGAAATTGTTTTTAATACTGATTTAGAAGGAATAATATTTCCTGTTTCTAACCCCACTGAGAGTTATATTGATAAGCCTGTTCCTGAATCGTTGATATACCATTTCAAATTGGTGAATTCAGGTACCCTGACCATGCCTATATTGTTGATAACTTGGCTTATGATGTAATATTTGGTGCAGATCTCTCGACGTTCATTTTCTATGGAGCTATGATGGTCCACGGGCAGGATCGGAGTTTCTGGTTATGTTGATTGCAATCACTCACATATATTATTCAATGTTTATATTGTTAGCGTTGTTGCCGTTGTTTATGATTAAAAATAGTCTTTTTGTTGTTATGGTTGTTCGAATTGGGAAAATATCGATATCGGTATCGAAAAAAAGGGCAAATATCGAGGAAATATCGTATCGAATGAAAAAGCTGGTATCGCCCATTCCTAATGAGCAAGATGAAAGTAACTGCTATTTACAGTTACCGTTGTCTTCTAATCTTATTAGCTCTGCGACGGTATTGAGCACTCTACTCATATATTATTCCAAACTCGATACTTGTCTATATATATATATATATATATATATATATATATATATATATATATATATATATATATATATATATATATATATATATTATATATATATATATATATTATATATATATATATATATATATATATATATACCGGGTGTCCCAAAAAAAAGTACTCCGGTTTGATTCGTAATAACTTCTAAACAAGTAAAGCTTTTAAAGAGAAATAACTTGCATCAAATAGAGGAAGGACTAACTTAGATTTTGATATATTACAGTTGTATTTCACTTAAAAATTCACAGGGATATTAATCTTTAAATTCGGGAGCATATTTCTGGATGTGTCTGAAATATGCAAAAAACGGCGTATCAAATATTAATCAAGATTTGCCCGACTGAAACATGCACTATTACCAGTAAATAAATGACACTTGACAAATTGTTTATTATATGAAACAAAGTATTATTATATCTACAAAATACAAGCAAGATTTATTCGTCCGAAATTCGCATGTTTTCCTAGCACGAATACGTTTCCTTATTTCATGAGACCACTGCATCGCGAAGGATCGTCATGGATCGTTCGTATAGTTCTGAATTAGGGCATGCTGCTACAATGGAATTGTGAAGCTCTTCTAACTTCTGCAACGTTCTGAAATCTTGTTAAGAACACCCACACTCTATTGCCTTTTCTTAATCTTGGCAAGTCCAGAGTAAACTGAGAATTATATGAAACACAATCAAACCATATATATAACTCCATAAGACATAACAATTAAGCAACTCCCCAGAGACATGCAACATTTTTGGAACAAAACGTAACAAAATAGTAGCGTTGATACGGTGATTTACGCTGATGTGTATTTGCAAAAAGCAATATTATTTCCTTCAATAAGGAATAATATTCATCCTGCTCTAACCGAGAAATAACCAACTCAGTCT